ACATGCTCAATGGGGGACGTCCGGTGAGTATACTGGCATTGCAAGAACTGGGATGTTTTCAGCTTCCTCTTAGATCTCTTGCAACATGGAGCCATGCATGATCATGCTGATCATACATGATCACCACTCCAAAGTGTCAGACGCCATCGAATGTGCCCACTCAAGTCAGTTATAATGACAAACTACAGTCAGGTCAAGACCCCGATGAGGACGACGAGCATGCAGATGAGCTTTTCTGAGACAGTTTCTGACAGTTTGTCCAGAAATTCTTTGATTACTTATCACGTATTGTTGTCCTACTGTTAGTTTTACTGCTTCTATTGTTCTCATTTGTAAGTCGCTTTGGATAAAAGCGTCTGCTAAATGAATAAATGTAAATTATGCAAACCGATTGTTGCAGCAGCTGTCCGGGTGGCTGGTCTCAGATGATCTTGGAGGTGAAGATGCTGGATGTGGAGGTCCTGGGCTGGTGTGGTTACACGTGGTCTGTGGTTGGATGTACTGCCAAATTCTCTGAAACGCCTTTGGAGACAGCTTATGGTAGAGAAATAAACATCCAATTCACATACAACAGCTTTGGTGGACGTTCGTGCAGTGAGGATGCCAATGGCACGCTCCCTCAAAACTTTCAACACCTGTGGTATTGTCCTACAGTATGTGATAAAACTGCTCATTTTAGAGTAGCCTTTTATTGTGGCCAGCCTAAGGCATAATCATGCTGTCTAATCAGCATCTTGATATGCTACACCTTTGAGGTGGTTGGATTATCTCGGCAAAGGAGAAGTGCTCACTAACACAGATTTAGACAGATTTGTAAACAATATTTGAGAGAAATAGGCCTTTTGTCTACATTGAAAAAGTCTTAGATTGTTGAGTTTAGCTCATGAAAATGGGGGCAAAAAAAGTATTGCATTTATAATTTTGTTCAGTGTATTTACAATATTATGCCCTGTAAATCCAGATGGGGTTTAGACAGTGTGCATGCATATCCGGCATTAGTTAAAACGGATCCGCTGTATTAATCTATTAAGTATGACATTTCTATATTAAACCTTTAGCAGCTGCATTTAGACAAAGCATGCAACAATGAGGTCCTGAACGGGAATCCTGTTATGTTTAGCTATTTTGTCAGGAGGGAGAAAGCAGCAAAACATCTGTCTGAAGTGCTGTGATGGGTCTCATGCAGCTCCTGTAAAGTCCAAATTCGTCACACATAGATACAGCTGAGCTAGTTGCTATGGCAACAGAGGCAGTGACTCAGCAAATGTCTTCTTAGGTGACAGACGGAACTCATTATTTGATTGAGAGACAAACCTGTTTCATGTTCAAAAAATGTTTTATTCATGTTGAGGATCTTTCGGAGGTGTTTGGAAGATGAAACGACCTTCAGGACCTTCAATTAATTCAATAAATAATGGAAGAGAAGTGCTCACACTTTCAAATTAGGCACAATCACTAATGTTCTCTTGTTAAGGAAATACAAAAGAAAAGTCATGTGTTTGATGCCCTAGAGAAGGGTAGGGATACTAGCGTATATACTAGTAGGGATAATGCAGTCAGATGGTCATTATTGCAAATAAATAAATAAATAAAACCCTGGACGGGGTGATCAGGAATTCGTATTCCAGTAATGACTGTACATTATCCCACTTATCGCAGCGACCAATTAAATATAGACACGAAATGTTGATTTCAGAAGAAATTGTATTATGTGAACTAGCAGTCAATTACACAATTTAGCTGCATGCCATTGGTTGTTTCAAACATCACAGCTGTTCAATAAAGGTTCCAAAATGGGGGTTCGCAGCAAAAAATAAAAGTTCTTTATTAGTATTGATGGTGGAACCTTTCCAATTGCTCAAAAGGTTCTTTATAGTAGAATAAGGTTCTTTAGATTATTAAAATGTTCGTCTCACTAAGAAAAGCTTGTTTGCATTGGCCTGTTTTAGTATCATTTGAAGTAGATTGGCCCAGCGAGATTCCTATTGGTCAGTCATGACCTACATTGTAGTGACTGACCGACAGGAAACATGGAAACCCTGCTAGAAAATATCTAGTTTAAATGCAAGGATGTAGTTAATTTACCCCTAGTTTCACAGACAAGGCTTAAGCTAGTCCCAGACTAAAATGCATGTTTGTGCTGTTTCAACTGAAAGCAACTTGCACTTATATCTTAAAATATATCAGTGCCATTGTTTTGTCTTAAGATGCACACTAGTAAAGTGTTTGTCAATAAGGCACATTTAAAAAGCTTCTTAAATGCCCTAAATTGAACTAAAGCTTAATCCTGGCTTAATCTAAGCCCTGTCTGTGAAACCGGGCCTAAGCTAAATATTATCATGTTTCACATGTGAATATTAACATTTGCACAATTTCTACAGAATGTCCAGCACTATATGCTTTAGATCAAACTGACAAAGCGAGCAGAGAACATTTGAATCAAGTCATGTGACCCACATACTCCAAACACACTATGATAATGATAGCAGAATTGCAGGAAACATTTTCATGCCTCCTACAAGAGATTAAAGAGCGTGTATCCTGTAGTGCATGTTGCCTTATTAAGGGTTAATGTGGGAACTTTTTAGTGATCTAAATAACTTTTTTGCCTTATAAGGTAACTTTAGTGATTCCATGTTGAAATTTCTTCAAGGAACCACAGTCATGCTTTTAAAAGTGTACACTAGTTTCCATATTAAGCTTCATATTTCTTTGCTTGGTAATCTAAAGTTGAAATCACCTGGAACATCAGTAGAGGAAGTCAGTGTTTGCTGTGGCGACGTCTTATCTTCTGATCTACTACTCTTTGTTGGGACGCCAGCCCTTTTTTTCCATTCGTATTTCTATTTTTAATGAGATTATTCCATAAAATGAGTAAAGTAGATCAATGTCAGGCCTACATTGCTGGTAGAATCCATACTAGATGAAGAGCAGTGAGGTTAAAATGTTATAGACGAACCATGCTCATTTTAACGCAATTATTAAAAAGATTTCAATTGTCCAATTCGATTGTAATCCACTTAACATCCACTCTGAATTTAGTTCAGTGCTGCACTGAATAAAATATCAGGGTATTCATCATCATAAAATGAATTAAGACATGCTTATCTAGTATATACAATGGAGTCCAAATTGTCTCATTGACAAATTCACATTTAAAATGTGGCACTAAAAAGTTGGTATTAACTGTAAATTTGACAATGTTTTACACTTTAAAGAGAACGAAATCTGTATCTGTGTGTGTTCCGGAAAATCAGCATAAATGCATAGAGTATTAATTAGAGCAGAGTATTAATTAGAGCAGTGTCTTCTTATGAACTCACCTTGAGTTTGACAAATGTGATCTTGAAAATGCTGTTTTTGACATTTTTGACATTGACAGCTTTGCCTCTTTTGTGTGCTGTATTTGTGATTCAGTCTACTCTCTGTATACATGTACACACTGTTCCAAGGTGGTTCAGTGGTTGTTCAAGGGTGCATGTGTGTGTGGGTGGTGGCTCCTCATGCACCTCTATGCACTCATACATATGCAAAAAGGTGTATTAATCATTGTCACTTCACTTCTAGAAACTTCCTTTCAATTTTCTTATCTTTTTTTTACATTTCATATTCCTATGTGGCTGCATGTGCATGTGTGTATATGGTATTGTTGCGATGTGTAAACATATAGTAGGCTATTCATGGGCATTCTCACACAAGCTCTTTACATTTCATTCTATAATTAATCGTTATGTTCTGTCACGTACATATGTCCTGTTATCAGCATTATAGTTTAAGTCTCTCTATTGCTTTAATATTAGCACATCACTCAAATGCCATGAACAAGAGTTTGTTCTCCAGCATGATTTCAGAATGAAAGAACATCTTGTGCTTCAATGGAAGCAAGAGCCTGACCTTCCTTACAAAGCAGTTCATTGTGACTGCTTCTATGGTAGCTTCAAAATATCGCTTAGTCAATTTTCATCCCCTTAAAATTTGTTCCATGAGGAAAATGGGGGGTGGGGAAATCTTTTGGACCCCACATTTTATTTATTTTCTGCATATAAAATCGCACCTTTTCTTGTATTTTTTTCCTGACTGCTGTTTAATTGGCGTTTTTATTACTCATTCAAAATAATTTATACATTTCAACTCAACTGAAAACGAATTACTACCTTAAAGGGATACTCCACTTTTTTTGGAAATAGGCTCATTTTACCACTCCCCCAGAGTTAAAATGTTGGGTTTTACCGTTTTCCAATGTGTTCAGTCGATTTTCTGATATTTAGAAAGAATATCAGTAAACAGACAGTTTATGGTCTCATTGACTTCCATAGTATATATTTTTTTTCACTATGGAAGTCAATGAGACCAGAAACTGTCTGGTTACTGATATTTTTCAAAATATCAGAAAATCGGCTGAATACATTCAAAAACGGTAAAACCCAACTGTTTAACTATGGGTAAAAAGTAGTAAAATGAGCCTATTTCCAAAAGAAAAAAAAAAAGAAAAGAAAAAAAAGTGGAGTATCCCTTTAAAGTAAAATCAAAGTGGTGTTTATGTGACATCCTGCACGGACAGTTTAGTTGCACTTTTTGTTCCATTTTTAAACGAATTATCTAAGAAGTGACAGAAACGATTATGACAAGTTTAATAGACAGAAGGAGCCATTTTTTTATGCACACGGGCATATGTTCATCCATCTGCAGTAGGTATGTCTAAAAATAACAGCAAGATCAGCATCCTTGAAAAAACACCGTTGGGCATCCTAGAGCAGCTTCCCCACTTCTACGCATTGAACGTGGGTTTTGCGTCATGCGTTTTTACATCACTCCCATTTCAACCTGTCCTGTTCTTACAGCGGATTTTACGTCTCGTTACGCAGCCCTATTGTAAAGTGATTCCCACCCCGATTTCATGAGCTGCACGACCGTGTTACGTCATTGCAGGTTCTGTTTGTGATTTGTTCTTGGCGACTGTGGGCGGGACCCGGGCGCTCCGCTGGATATATTACGCGGGGCACCTTGGAGAGAGCCGGGTACGGCTCCATGTCACGGTGGGCATAGTGCTCCGGGAAAAGGGGTGTAGTTTAGCAAAGAAGGCAAGAAAGGAAACACGAAGGAATTCTCTGCTCAAGGAGACAAACACAACCTTACAGTACATAATGCCTTCTCAAAATAAAGATGATGGAGGATGGAAGAACTTTGTATGGAATTCGGAGAAGAAGGAATTTCTGGGGCGCACCGGTTCTAGTTGGTGTAAGTATAACCTATAGATCTAATATCGGCAGTGTCGCTGTATTTCAGCACGTTGGACAGCGCTGTGATGCCTGTCATCGCCGTTTCTATAGCAGCAGGTAGAGATAGACTGGCAGTCTGGTCACGATGCAACCTGTTTGATTTGACTTTGCAGCAAATGTCTCACGGACTGTCATATATCTATATACGGACTCAACGCACGATTTGCCGTGTTATTTTGAGAGTTCAAATCATTATTGAACACGTACGTTCATTTGTTGGTGTTTCTCAGTCTCCCACCTGTTTCGTTGAGACCCCGCGGTCTTTTGACAGGCTGGATGTGTTTTTCGTTTTTCCACATAAATAGAAAGATGCATGAATGTATAATGAATGCTGTGCACGGATGCGACGCTGATGGAGGAGCAAAAGGTCAACAAAGGACAGCGTCAGATTTTTTTTTTTACCAGATCAATTTTTTGCTGCTTAATGCTTAAATGAAATCGAATAATTTTATTTTCCTCCTCAAAAATAAATAATCAAACAAATAACCAGAAGGCTAATGTCTTGTATTTGTCTAAAAGCTGGTTGTTTCTTCTCTGTGCTTGTCATGATGTCAATCAGCGTGTCATTCAATTAGCACACTTGTCATTATATCAATGTGATTCCCATACAAAGGGTTAAAAATGCATCATTGTTCAAGGTGACTCAAGGTGAAAGGCCTAGTATTTGGGGTCTGACTGATTCATCTAAGGTTGCACTGAACATTGACGTCATGTATTTGAGGCAGCAACAGTTTCTAATTGATAGACTTACAAATGTGGCTTGCCTAATATAATTTCATCTTCTAAAAATACCTTGAATGTGTCTAGCCAGTTGTGTGTGGACATAAGATCCATGCTAGAGCTATTAGGTGGAAGAAGTTCCTATAGAGATGGATGCCCAAAATGAGTCGTGCTTTAGCAAAGCAACGCATCTCCTGGGATTTCTGACGGCTGTTACATCATCTAGTACGTTGACTATCGCTGAGGTGTCCAGGTGACCCTCTGACATTGCTTTATGCACCACTGGAAACCAAACAGACTTTGTGGCCTTGCTTAACTGTGCATGAGCAATTGAAATTGAGTTTAGCTCAGGTATGATTTCTATAGCCTAATCATTGGGTCTGATTCAAATCTGCATTATTTGAAGAGGCTGTCAGGGAATTCTTTTGGGATAAAAGTGGACAGACTGGTTTGACTGGTCCGGGAAGAACTTAAGATGTGACCCTACTGGTTTTACTGGACTGTGATGTTCCTACACACTGTTGATGCTTGAGACATTGAGATTACTCATCATATCCTGTCATGCTGGCACCTCTATATTTTCTGGGGACAGACTGAGGACATTTGTATTGCTGGTATCGTGTCAGCAGTTTCGCTTGTTTAATGTAGCATCAGTGATCAGTCCTGGGATCAGTCGTTTTCAAAAATAATCTTTCATTAATCTATGAATTTAGTAAATATAGGTTGTAAACTTTAGCTTTATAGCGTAAACGTACTTTATAGCATTGCAATTTTCAACCATCGATTAAGATGTAAAAAAAATATCAAAAACCAAAGTGTCAGTAAAACATCAGAATTGCCACTCAAAATGTCGCATGCTGAAATATGTTCTCATCTATCTCTCTCTCTCTTCACAGCAAAAATCTTCCTCTTCTATCTCATCTTTTATGGCTGTCTGGCCGGGATCTTTATCGGCACCATCCAGGTTCTGCTCCTCACCCTGAACGATTACAAACCCACCTGGCAGGACAGAGTAGCTCCTCCAGGTAAACACTATTTACCTTTATATTTTTGTTCGATTTTACGCTGAAGCTGAATTATTATAAATGGGTTTGTGAAGCCCTATGGGTTAATGGTGGAACTACAAGGGGTCCAAATGAAATAAAAAGTCGAAAATTACAAACAAAAAGAATAATACTTTGGCTAAACATAAAAATATGACACTGCACTAATTTTTCATTATATAACGGCATTTTTTCAATTCATCATATTTATTAGAAGACTTAATTATTGTTTTCTTTCACTTGTCAAAGTATTTTCTATTCTATCAGGAAGTTTTAAATTGATAGTTTGCCCAGAATTCTGATAAATCATTTACTCACCCTCAATTTGTTCCAAACCTATATGAATTTCTTTCTTTTGCTGAACACAAACAAGATTAATGTCAGTAACCGAACAGTTGATGGGCCCCATTGACTTTCATTGGATGGAAAAACAAATACTATAGAAGTCAATGGGGCCCAACTGTTTGGAAACCAACATTCTTCAAATATATATATAAAGAAATGCACACAGATTTGGAACTTGTGAGTGAATAAATTATGACAGAAATTTCATTTTTGGGTGAACTATCCCATTAAGTGATTTTTTTTAACAGATTTAGTTCAGTCCATTTTTTTTTATTCATAATTTTTTAGTTACAGCTACTTCCTTTTCAAATTTTCATGCAAGTGAAAAATGTATTGAACAAAAATATGAATGCGCACATGCACGATTAAAAAAAAAAAAAAAATGGTTCATTTTCCTGGTAGAGAATTTTTTAAAAACCACAAAAAAATATATATTCTTGTTGTCATTAGCCTGCATAAAATTTTAATGAGTTTCATAGTTCATAGATTTTGAAAATCTGGATATAAAGTGTGATTCTGGTTCCCTAGTTGATGAGGTTTGGGAACCTTTTTCTGTCACAGTTCCTGTTTAAAGTGAGCCTTGAAGGCTTGGATCAATCTGACATTTGGTGGGTTCAGGGAATAGATCAGACTGAGAACTACAACAGATAACACACACTTTTAAGCCTCTCCTCTGCATGACTGATCAAGGGAAGGATCTAAATGGATCTAAATCTAATATATTATTTATTTATAACCAGCCATTGCTAGGAGCATTTGAGCTTTGAAAACTGTTTTCAGAAAATGCTTCCTTCTTCCATGTGGTTAAGATCTGATTCGGTTTAAGATGCACAAGCCCTTAAGTTATCAAACAGATGATCCATAAAGGCTTTGTCCATGTGCCAGATGCGCTTTAACTATGGCTAATATTTCCTGCATAATTTCATCTCGATAAAAAGCAGTTATTTTGTGAACATATATCATAAAATGAAGTCAAATATTGAATAATACAGCATTATTTAGCTTATTCCATCAAAAAAGAAAACCCATATGCATTTGTAAATTGCATTGTATCCTTGAACAGAGCCCGACCGATAAAGGATTTTGAAGGCCGATACCGATACAAATATTTGTTGGTTTTAAAATCCGATAAATCGGCCGATATTTTTTTTTTTTTTTTTTCAGAAATGCGCAACAAAACATTAACAGATTTGTCATGCTTATTTGAGTTAAGAGAACTGATGCGGATGTTCTTTTATTTGTTATTCAAGCAATGTATCTCTCATGACCAACTCAACGAGTGTTGCCAACAGGGACGTTGTAGAGTGCCCTCTGGTGGACAAACTATTACAACTCCAACACTCATGACATGGTTGAAGCATGTTTCGTCCCATTTTATTTTTGAAATATTCATTTATCGGCCATTATAATTGCTGATACCGATAGTTTGGAAAAGGCCTAATATCAGTTTGCCGATATATCGGTCTGGCTCTATCCTTGAATGTGATATTATTAGATGGACAGCCATGAAATTTGGAAGCATTCCTTTCTGATGTTTTACGGATTTGCCCGATTAATGTAAAATTGTCAAACAGGAAATATAATACTTCACTAGTATGCGAAAAATAGTACACCAAAAGAGTATGTCCCACTACTTCCACTGAGAATCTGAAGTGTGCATTCGATGGACACTTTACTATCCCATGAGGCCACGGGAAAGGATTTGTGAATGAAAGCAAAGCAACACAATTGACGCTGGAAGGTCACATGACAGTAACAAAATGGCAGATGTAGTACGGCCCAATTTCATTAATTCTTCTAACTATATTCATAATATAGCCTATAACATAATTTTTTATTTCAATTTCAGACACAGCTGTGAATCGTTTAACATTTTAAGGGAGGTTTAACAGCTGTTAGAGATGGCTAGATGGGAAATTATTCTGAGAAATTTATCAAAAAATGTGTCGAATTCCTCAGAATTGCCAATTATAAATGCTGATCCTCCCAAGAATTCAGGACTGACCGAGTCAAGGGTTTAAAAAGGGCAGACAAAGCTAGTCAAATGAGAGAAGATTGAAAAGGATGTACTGTCTGACAAATACGTCTCCTCCAAAATGAATGTAAATATGTCTGAATTTCATGTATTTTTGTTCATTTGTCTGTGGACAGGGCTCAGTCACTTCCCGCGTTCAGACAAGGCTGAGCTGATATTCAATATGGATGACGTGGAGACATACCTGAAATACAGCAAAGTCATGAAAGATTTCCTAAAACCCTATGACATCGAAAACCAGCGGGACCAAATGAAGTTTGAGGACTGTGGAGGTATCAGATTACACATTTCACTTCTGTTTCTTGAGTCGCATATGTATATGGATGTTCTCTCAGCAGGATGGTTTTTTTTTTCATTAGCCTACAAAAAGCAAAATACATATTATGAATTATACCACACAATGTTGTAAAGCTTTAGCTTTAAGATTTTCAATGTATCTGAAAATATTTTACATGTACAATGACATATGTAGCCTTATATGAGAATTATATAGTGCATGTCTTTCTGTTTTCACAGATCAACCCCAGAGTTACAAGAACAGAGGTGATCTCGAGAGTGACATTGGTGTCAGGAAGGCCTGCATGTTTTCCAAGTCTTGGCTAGGACCCTGCTCTGGCATCGAAGATGGTAATTTTGGATTCGCAGATGGGAAGCCCTGCTTGATTGTCAAGCTCAACAGGATTGTGAACTTCAGACCCAAGGTTTGTTCAACACATGCAACAATATTCACAAAATGTTTGCAAGATCTTGCTTTGGAATACTTTTTTCCAACAAATATTAGATAACATTTCTGCCAACTATGAATTAATTGATTAAAGGTTAATTTTTATAATATATTAGCAATATTTTTAGTTTACAGTAATATGTTAATGCTTATATAAATACATTTACATATTATGAATTATTATATATCAACTGGCCTGTTTTATTTCATGTAGTTACTTTTTTACTTAAATTTACTTAAATTGCCTGAGTATTACTTAATATATATATATATATATATATATATATATATATATATATATAGTATTTGTTCGCCATTCTTCTTACAAATTACCTTATGTGCAATTATTTTTCTGTGACTAGCAATAAGCTACAGTATATTTTGTTGCAGTATTTATTCATCTTTGTTAAAGGAGTAGTTCACTTTAAAAAAAAACAAAAAACCTTTTGCTGATAATTTACTCACCCGCAAGTGCATCCAAGATGTCTTCCTTTCTTCAGTCGAAAAGACATTAAGGTTTTTGATGAAAACATTCCAGGATTTTTCTCCATATAATGGACTTACATGGGAACCAGACGGTTCAAGGTCCAAAAGACAGTTTCAGTGCAAACTGTTCAAAGGGCTTTAAATGATTTCAGACGATGAATAAGGGTCTTATCAAGCGAAACGATCACTCATTTAAAAAAAAAGAACAAAGTTTAAGTTTTATAAGCTCAAATGGTCGCCTTGCTCTGTTCTGTGATGCGCATTCGTGACTCTCCTGTTCGAACTCGTTTATCAAAATGAAAAAAATCTTTTTCCGCGTCATTTGGTTCATTCAACGAACGAAATGAACGAATTGACTCTGGAAAAGATTTATTCATTTTGATGAACGAGTTTGAATAGGAGAGTCACGCATCACAGAACAGAGCAAGGCGACCATTCGAGCTTATAAAACTTAAACTGTTTTTTCTTTTTCTAAATGAGCGATCATCTTGCTTGATAAGACCCTTATTCATCGTCTGAAATCATTTAAAGCCCTTTGAACAGTTTGCAGTTTGCATTGAAACTGTCTTTTGGACCTTGAACTGTTTGGTTCCCATTGAAGTCCATTATATGGAGAAAAATCCTGGAATGTTTTCATCAAAAACCTTCATTTCTTTTCGACTGAAGAAAGAAAGACATGGATATCTGATGACATGGGGGTGAGTAAATTATCAGCAAAAGTTTTTTTTTAAAAGTGAACTACTCCTTTAATGGTAGTTAATAAAAATCCAGCTGTTCATTGTTTGTTCATGTTAGTTCACAGTGCATTAACTAATGTTAATGTTAAAGGGATACTCGACTATTTTTGGAAATAGGTTCGTTTTACCGTTTTCGAATCCATTCAGACGATTTTCTGATATTTAGAAGAATATCAGTAACCAGACAGTTTCTGGTCCCATTGACTTCGATAGTAGGGAAAAAATATATATACTATGGAAGTCAATGGCACCAGAAACTGTCTGGTTACCAAGTCCTCTAAATATCTTGGAAATCTTCTGAATGGATTCGAAAACGGTAAAACTCAACTGTTTAACTCTGGGGGAGTGGTAAAATGAGCCTATTGTCAAAAAAAGTGGAGTATCCCTTTAACAAATACAACATTTAATTTTAATGTATTAGTAAATATTGAAATTAACCTTAACTAAGATAAATAAATGCAGTAGAGACATATTGTTCAAGTTAACTAAAGTTGTTACCTAGAGATATATTAGGAATAAAGGTCTATAAAGTTGTTATTGCGAGATATAAAGTCAGAATTGCGTGATATAAAGTCAGAATTGCGTGATATAAAGTCAGAATTGCGTGATATAAAGTCAGAATTGGAGATATAAAGTCAGAATTGGAGATATAAAGTCAGAATTCCGAGTTATAAAGTCAAAATTGCGAGATATAAAGTCAGAATTGTGAGATACAAAGTCAGAATTGCAAGATATAAAGTCAGAATTGAGAGATACAAAGTCAGAATTGCGAGATAGTCAGAATTGCGTGATTTAAAGTCAGAATTGCGTGATATAAAGTCAGAATTGCGTGATATAAAGTCAGAATTGCGAGATATAAAGTCAGAAATGCGTGATTTAAAGTCAGAATTGCGTGATATAAAGTCAGAATTGCGAGATATAAAGTCAGAATTGCGTGATTTAAAGTCAGAATTGCGTGATATAAAGTCAGAATTGCGTGATATAAAGTCAGAATTGCGTGATTTAAAGTCAGAATTGTGAGATATAAAGTCAGAATTGCGAGATATAAAGTGAAAATTGCGAGATATAAAGTCAGAATTGCGAGATATAAAGTCAGAATTGCGTGATTTAAAGTCAGAAATGCGTGATATAAAGTCAGAATTGCAAGATATAAAGTCAGAATTGCGTGATATATAGTCAGAATTGCGAGATATAGTCAGAATTGCAAGATAAAGTCAGAATTGCGTGATATAGTCAGAATTGCGAGATATAAAGTCAGAATTGCAAGATAACGTCAGAATTGCGTGATATAGTCAGAATTGTGATATAAAGTCAGAATTGCGAGATAAAGTCAGAATTGCGTGATATAGTCAGAATTGTGATATAAAGTCAGAATTGCGAGACATAAAGTCAGAATTGCGAGATATAAAGTCAGAATTGGGTGATAAAAGGTGCAATTCTGAGAAAAAAAGACAGAAGTGCGACTTTTTATCTCACAATTCGGACTTTTTTTCTCACAATTGCCAGTTTACATCTCGCAATTCTGACTTTATATCTCGCAATTCTGACTTTATAACACATAATAGCGAGTTTACATGTCGAAATTCTGACATCTTTTTTTTTTAATTGTGAGATATAAACTCGCAATTGCGACTTATCAGGCCAATTCTAAGGGGAAAAAAAGACAAACTTTTTCCCCCCTCAGAAGAGTTTAAATCTCACAATTCTGACTTTATATCATGCATTTCTGACTTAATAACATGCAATTGCGACTTTATTACACGCAATTCTGACTTTATATCTCGCAATTGCAAGTTTAGATCACGCAATTCTTACTTTCCAGTAAGTAAACTCGCAATTGTGAGAAAAAAAAGTTAGAATTGTGAGATAAAAAGTCAGAAATAATGGCAGAAACAAGCTTCCATAACATTCTTTTTTGATCATTTAATTCCTAAAATTCATCATTGCAGTGAAGCATGTCGCATGTAAGATATAAAAGTCAGATCATTTATTTATTTATTTTTTCCTTTTAGGCACTGGCGTCAAACGAAACCATTCCAGAGGAGGCGCATCACAGAGTCCAGCCCAATGTGATTCCTATCCACTGCACAAACAAGGTGAGCGATCCTTTGGCCACTGCACCGAATACACGCGTTTCCTCTGGAAAACAGTCAAAATGTTGCTAACCGACGACGGCGTATGTTCTCTTGCCTGCAGAAAGAGGAGGATGCAGGTAAGCTGGGCGAGGTGAAGTACTACGGTATCGGAGAAGGCTTCCCCCTTCACTTTTACCCCTACTACGGAAAAATCCTGCACCCTCACTACCTGCAGCCCCTGGTGGCCATCCAGTTCGTCAACATCACCTTGAACACGGACATCCGCGTGGAGTGCAAAGTGTACGGGGGAAACATTTATTACAACGAAAAGGATCGCTACCAGGGACGATTCGATATTAAACTCGGTGTCCACAAATCATGACCTCTGAACAGAGTACCTCCTCTCTCTCCCTATTTTAAGGCAAACTAAGGCCCCTCTTCTGACTTGAGATACATAGGCACCAGAGAGAAGTTTCTCACCGGTCTTCCACAAGCGGTTTAACCGAGGGGATGTTTTTTTGAATGTACAAGTGTCTCACGTCAGAAAGCGGCCTCCTTTTAGTTTAGGAGAGATTAATTAACAAAACCAACAAACAAAAAAAAAATACAAAAAAGCGAATAAAAGAATATTTAAAAACGCTAGTCTATAAAACAACACACCATCTTACACATGTGGGACCTAACATTGTCTGTACTCTTTACTTCAAGCTTTCTGCTTTCGGTCTAGGGTTAGAACGTAAACGCCTGGAGGATTAGCCATAGCATAGAAAATGTATTCTACTACCGAATGAGAACTGTCCACGATCTAAGGGACATGTCGTTTTATTGTAAATTACATTTCCTCTACCGATGTAGCCAGCGCTGTTTCGTCCCTCTTGTATTGTATTGCTACCTTGTGTGATTTCCCTATATTTAGAAAGTGCACAGTAGTTGTAGGTTGTTTTAAGCCACGCCACGTGTGTGATTCAGCTTCATTTGTCAAACGTGCCTACATATATGTATAGTTACTTAATGGAAATACACTGGCCTCTCAACATTGCCTTTCGGGGGTATTGATGTTTGCATCTTTTAGGTGTGTTATAGGTGGGTAATGAACCTTTTTTTCCCCTAAAATCACTTCAATGTAGGGGGAAGATTGTACTTCTCTTAAAATGATTCGTTTTCACTGAATGTAGATGTTGCCTTTGGTTTTATGGTGTCATTCACGTGTGGAGGGACCCTAGCTTTGATTTGTCTTTGTTTTCTTCCTTGCCTCGTCATTCTTCTCATTATTGAAGCCGTCACACGGTGTGGTCGAATGTTTTCACTATTTATTAAGTGGTGACCTTAAATATTCTGTTCTTGCACATGCTCATGTTCTGCGGAAACTCGTCATGAATGTTAATAATGCCAAAGCCATTAAAGTTATTTTAGATTCTATCAGAAGTAATGCAATACCCTGTCCGTCGGGATGTTTTGTAGGTGTGCGCAATCAGTGTCAAACATCCGAAATGTCAAATTTCACGAGTCCCACAAGCTCTCATGTTGGAAACTAAACTGGAAAAGACTAACCAAAATAAAGATGAGACTCTAAACTTGTGCTCTTTTTTTTTATTCTGTACATCTTCATTTTGAACATATATTCGAAATGTGCACTCTTTAACTCTTTTATCTTCACATTTGGATGTGATTACAATATTTAATCAATATGTATTTATAGATTTTGTACACCCAAAAAAATGCTGGGTTGTTTTAACCCAGTTTTGGGTCAAATATGGACAAACCCAGCCATTGGGTTAGATTTTTAAATAAAATTTTTAACCCAATGTTTGAGTTTGTCCATATTGACCATATTATATTTTATCAATAATAAATGTAAACAAATATATATATTACTTGCTGTTAATATATAACAAAGGGTACCAGAGCTCCGCTGAATATATATATATCTCAGAAAAGAGAATGTAACTGAAGACTGAACACACCCTGAATTTTAGGTGTTGGTACACCTGGGAATTGGAAGCAATTCTACCTGCTGTCACCATATCATTGGCTGAACTTTGATGGTGATTAACTAATGAGGCCTTGATGAATTAAAAATGTGTTTTTTCACCCAAGAGGATCTGTGTGCGCCAAGCAGAGCCACCTGATATCTTCAGGCGTGTGATGTCAGGTGTGTGATGTGTGTGAGTCTCAAAGAGAGTAAAAAATACTTGCTTCGGAATATGTGTTTGTGTGTGCGAGAGAAGACAGGAAGAAGGAATATGCATTGTAATTACATTATACAAATTAAAAGAACAGCTTTCAAAAGATGCAAAGTGCTTTTCATTTATTATGGACAACATAATCATCACCAAAAAAAAAAAAAATCTGTCTGTTGATTCACAAGCATAATTAAAGGGATAGTTCACTTTGATTTTTTTTTTATGTTTTAGCTTACATCAAAGGCATCCAAGATGTACTGTAGGTGTCTTTGTTTCTACAGTATTTTCAATTTTGATATTTTTTGGTCAACCCGTTCTTGTCTGTCAGTCATATAATGCAGGCAAATGGGGTCCTCCTCAAAAAGCATGCACAGAGAAGTCCAAATTAAACATGATTTAATGACTCGTAAATGTACACATCGATGGCCTAAGACACGAAACGAGCGGTTTGTGTGAGAAAACAAACAGTATTTATATCGTTTTACCTGTCGTTTTGTAATTACAGTCACGTCCAAGTACTCTGAGGGAGTGTGCACTTCTGTCTGCACAAGCCCCGGAAAGCCCCGGAAGTGATCTCTCTCGTGCGTGTACGTCGCTCATTGTTTACACAGAGATTTCAGAAGTGTTACCCTTCAGTGTGAAGATCGAAACATATTTAAATATACAGGAAATTGCAATGGAAGACAAACTCTATATCAACAGACAACGTTGATTTTTTTTTTTTGCAAACGTGCAAGATATCACTTCCGGCGCTTGCACAGACTGAAGCGCCCGTGCCTTCAGATCACTTGGACGTGGCTGTGGTTACAAGAGGTAAAAACGATATAAATACTGTTCGTTTTCTCACACAAACCGCTCGTTTCGTGTCTTAGGCCATCAATGTGTACTTACATTTACAAGTCATTAAATCATGTTTATTTTGGACTTCTCTCTGCATGCTCTTTGAGGTGGTGACCATAGACCTCCATTATATGACTGACAGACAAGAACGGTTTGACCTAAAAATATCAAAATTGAAACTACTGTGGAAACAAAGACACCTACATCTTGGATGCCCTTGAGGTAAGCTAAAACATATCAAAAACAGTTCGATTAATAGATGAAACTCCATTAACTGCATCTGTAATATGCTGCCAAACTTCCTTTTTTTTAGGACCTGATACGCCTATGTACACTTGAAAATTAAATGTGGCATTTTGAATGAACTTCTGATAATTAAACTTCAATTTCTGCATCGGAGAAATCTTTCTTTGTCATTCGCATTCATGTTATTATATGCCTATACATAGATGTCAGTTGGATATAATGGGCGGGATTTATGGTAATTGAGAATGAACGTGCATCACATTTACGACTGGTTGGAATTCATTAGCACACACATTTCACTATCACATATGACGTTCACGAAGTATTTGTGAATCAGGAGAAGAGTTTTCGGTAAGGTCTCTATGCGCAAATCACTCTCATATTTACTCGTATATTTACGAATGTTTCATGAATGAGACCCCAAGTCCGTAATTGTCATCTGAAATTTTCGCATGTTAAAGCAACACTATGTAACATTTTTTACCTTAAAATAATGTTTCCAAAATGTTATCAGTGGTTCATCAAGTTGTAACAGGTTGAAGGGCACTTCTGCCATGTGTAAATTAAATGTGTAATTACATTGTAATAACTGTATATTAAGACTGTAATAAATGTATAATTAGATTTTTTAAACTACTTTTCAAAAAGAATTGCTACTTTATCCTTTTGAAACTAACATTCTCACTTGGAATAAATAATCTCTGGATTGATGAAAGGATTGATGAAGCATGAAAGTCATAATCTTTTAGACACTAAAACACAGCTCAAGAAGTCCACCCTCTACCTTTTCCCTTTTGTTAGTTGAAGGCAAAGGAAACACTGTTAACCATATGCTATCAAGCAACCATATTAACTATTTAAAGCCTGACACACACACACAGGTGAAATCTGTCTGGTCAAATCTGACCATCATCTCATTGATTGGTATATCTATATCTAACGGAAATGACCCCCTCCATTCACTCTCCTCTCATATTACCCTTCTCCTCTCCTCCCTTTGGTTTTTATTTATTTAAATATTCTAAAAAAAAAATCTAATAAACATTTAGTTACATTCTAGTTCCCTTTACAAATAATTAATAGAATATAAATAAAAAAATAGTGTTTTGTTTTAAATGAAGTGTACCCGTCCCACTAACAAATGTGAATCATCACAAAAGAAAAACTACTTTTCTCTAATGATGTGCCATGCCAGACAAAGATTTCTAAATGACTTCCAGCAAGCTTTCAAGTCATTCTTTCAATATTAACAAATTTTATCGACAATTTATATGCATTATGTGTTTGCACAGTGCAAATCGGTTTGTTACCCAGAGGAAGCACTGCGCAATGGAGGGTTAAACAGTCATGATGACCTAATCACATTACAGACACATAAGATCATCATCTTTGAGGTAAGAAACAATTCAGATATATTTGAAGAAAAAAATAGAGCAGAAAGGATCATTTTGCAACTTTCTTTTCCCTAAAGGCAACAGTGAGAACTGACACTGCTTTTGTTGCATTAAGTCTATTAGATTATACAGATATTATCAGTTCTAGAGCACAATGAATAAATAGACCACAGAGAGGTCATCTTGATTTATTCTGTAGGTGGAAGATGATATTAAGCTTGACTAAGCAGGAAGGTTCATTTCCTGATGTGTGTGTGTGTTAGCTGTGGGGGGTGAACAGACTCAGCAAACAATGCAAGAAATGCATGATGCACTGTCGTTTTGATAAAAAAAAAAAGATTTTGTATCTTCTTCTGCTCTGATAAAGATGTTTTTAGCTTATGGTGTGTTATCTGGTGCATTCACGTCTGGTAAAACAAATCAATAGCACCCATGCTTGACTCGGATCTTAAACAGCCCAATAAAATGAGCCTGGGCAGAGTGTTGTTCTCTTTCACATGTGTCAGCACTGAACAAGAGCATTAATAGAATATGAAAAATACAGGCAGTTGTATAAAGCATGCTGAGCATGCACCTGTGCTATTTATAAAACCTTGTCTTTTCTGGGAAGGTCTAGTGCTTACATCATGAATATAATCCATCTTGGGTTACAACTTAACTGGAACTGTTACCTTCAAATGCCCTTTAGTTTCACCACGCAGACATGCTCTAATCTTCCTGCCTTTTGTCCTCACCACACACGGACGTGCACACAAATTTACTTTGCTAACTAAATAGGGAATACCATAGACTTCAATTGTTCAAATTTGTAATGTTATGTCAGATTTAGGCAACTTATGACGACAAACTACAGCTAAATATTTACACACATGTTTAACTAATCAAAATGAGGACATATCACAAACCTCTATAGTTTCACAATAAAATAAAACTGTATGTTTTTTATGCATGATTAGTTTTTTCCAATTGAGGACATTCCCAGTTAGGTTTTGCCAGGCTGACGTCTGGGGATAATGTAACTTACTATAGTCAGAATTGCAGTCTACAAATTATTATTTTGTACAAATTATTTTTGTCCTGTTTGTTTACTTAGATAAACATAAGCTGTTTTCCTTTCTGCTTGATATGACTGAAGTTACTATTGTAAACCCAAGCGTGAGAGGTGTGACATCATCTTCACACTCACACACGCACACACACACACCTCCCCGCCTCGTGCTGTAATCCGAATCAGCGGGGATTTTGATGACATTTGTTTTAAAGCTAAACAGATGCTGATTGTGGCAGAACTTTATCAGCAGCTTTCATGGAGGGACGAATATCAGTGAAACTCAGTCTGAAACAACAAAAAAAAAGGAACAAACAGTGCCTTTCTAAAGATACAAGTTACCCCATGCAAAGGGAACAGGCCAAAGGATCGACAAAGCATGAAAGTCTTAATCTTTTAGACACAGACACTAACTCACAGCTGCAAAAGTCCACGCTCTACCTTTTTACCTTATGACACTGTTTACCTTATGCTGTAAAGCAACCCTAACCCTTTAAGAACTTTAATATATATATATATATATATATATATATTAGGAATTTTATTTATAGGCGCTTTTCTTGACACTCAAGGTCACCATATATCATCAACAAGACAATGACAATATTTAAGTAAAAACAATGAAATACAATACAATTAAAAAGGCAATGCAGTTGTGATCAGAGGGAGTACACTATTCTAAATAGATGTGTTTTGAGTTGAGGGATTTACAATGTGAGAGGGAATCAATGTGACGGAGATCTGGTGGAAGCCAGTTCCAGAGCGGAGGAGGAGAGCAGCTGAAAGCTCTGCTCCACATAGTAACAACACTGTAAAAAATATTCTCAAGATTTGTTATCACAACATATTTTCTTTTGTCAAAT